GAAGCAAACCACAAACACAACAAACAGAACTCTATTCCTTCCTCCATTTTTTGGCATGAAAGAGCTCCATGGAACTTGGTTTTCTCCTTAAATTCTGAGTCACAGAATTTCGGAGCCTGACTGTGAGAAACAAACTCACCTTCTGTCCCAAACCAAAAATGGACTGTAGAAACTGGAAAACGCAAAAAGAAAGGGTGGGGACTGGTTTTTTTGTGTTTGTTTGTGTTTTGAGCAAGAATCTTCTGTCCGTGTTGGGTGGCGGTGGCTTCCGCCTCCCGGTTCACGCAATTCTCCTGCCTCAGCTCCCGAGTAGCTGGGACTACCAGGCGCCCGCCACCCGCCCGCTAATTTTCTTGTATTTTCTTGTAGTAGAGACGGGGGTTTCAGAGACTCCGTCTCAAAAAAAAAAAATGTACTGATTTAATTTTAATTACTTGTTTTTAGAGGCGGGATCCCTGTCATCCACGCTGGAGTGCAGTGGCACCATCATAGCTCATGGCAGCCTCAACCACTGGCCTCAAGCGATCCTCCTGCCTTGGCCTCCCAGTGCTGGGATTACAGGAGTGAGCCACCATGCCTGGCCAGCAATCCACTTAAACAAATATATCCAAAATACTACCTCACCATATCATCAACAAAATATACTACTGATGAAATAGTGACATTTTACAAAGAAATTTTTTTCTCACCAAATCTTCAAAATCCAACATGAGCTTTGTCCTCACAGCAGTTTGAGAACGGAACTGGCCACGTTCCAAGGGTGGCCACAGGGAGCTCCCCAGAGTGCAGCAGCCAGGCCGGAGGCTGCACAGAGGTGCAGGATCAGAGGAGGCGCAGGCAACCCCAGAGTCCGGTCTGAGATGGCACAGGGAGCAGGTCTCTGGTGGCCTTGACAAGATGACAGGATCCAGGGTAGGGTGGGGAGGGGACGGGACCCTGGGCACCTCAGAGAGCAGAGCAGGGGAAACAGGAGCCCCCACCTAGGGACAGGTGGAGAGGGGGGCTCCTCTCCAGGAACCCCAATCAAGACAGGCCTCACGTGACTCCCACGTCCTCCTGGAGGGCACAGGGGCCTCTTCTGAGGTCAGTTTGGTTTCTGATTTTTTCCAGGGAAACTTTTCAGCACATTGTCCTTGGCCAGATGCCACAGGAGCCGCTGACCCAGT